ATTTTCAGCGTTACAAAGGTTCGAAAAACCCCGCATTTCCACAATTTAATATTTTATTATTTTTTCGACAATTTATTACGATTAATAATAGTCTTAATTACATTTTCTAAAAAACGCGGATTTGATCCCCCCCCGTCCATCCGCTTGTCCCCCCCGTCCGTCCGTCCGCCATCCGTCCGTCCGTCCGTCCGCCATCCGTCCGTCTGTCCGTCCGTCCGTCCGCCATCCGTCCGTCCGTATCCGCGTTTTATCCTTACCCAGTAATAAATAGTGTACGATTTTAGTCTGCTGCCTTGCTCGCTCACTTAATGCTCGCTCGCTGCGGCAGCAAAAATAATAAAGTAGGGCGCATTGCCACTTAAAAGGTTAACAGGAGCTTAGTGGGCAGAGAATCTGATTAACCCCTCTCCCCTTGAAGAGTGAACTTGTCTGGTGTTAAATAGAGTAAAATAACAAAGTACCGTAGGGCACATTGGGCACATTGCCATCAGCGCTACATTGCCATTTAAAGGCTGTTAATTTATATATCGACACTTTTTAAACTGCATACCACTGCCACTTGAAAATTTGAGTAATAACTTGCAGCTGACAACATAGGCACGTTAGAACACTCTGAGGACAGATCAGAGAAACTTCGCACACATTCTGTGACGTCATCTTGAAAATATCCTGAAAAAAATGAAACATTCACTATAAAATCAAACTTTGGATTGATAGGGATCAAGGGTGGGTAGTAGCGAAGTAGTTGTAGTTCGCTACTGTAGCGAACTACAATTTTCAAGTAGCCAGTAGTTTTTTACTACTTTTTTAAAACAGTAGCTGTAGTTATAGCGAACTACATTTTGCCTAAAAGTAGCCAAGCAGTTGACTACTTTTCAAGCAACGAATCGCTATTCGCTACTTTTTAAAATTGTTAGCAACTTGATAGAATAGCATGATATTGAGACACGGTTTGCTTAAAGTAAATACTCAATAGTCAATTTGCACTCTTGAACACCGTAGTGCAGACTAGTGCTTACAAACATGTTGCTTTGTGTTTACTGTTGCTACTCGTATTAGTCGATTTGTTATAGGTTACATTTCTGAGTTAGTAGATGCTCCAAATACAGTAAAACTAAAAAAAATATAGCGTAGCGAAATGGAGAAATAATTCGCTACATTTTTAAAGCAGTAGCTGTAGTCAGTAGTGAACTACCTTTGTCCAAAAGTAGCAGCAGTAATTGTAGCTGACTACATATTTTTGAAGTAGCTGTAGTTACAGCGAACTACAAAAATTTTGTAGTCAACCCACCCTTGATAGGGATGCAACTACCTGAAAAATACAAGGAGAACTTCAACGTTTTAAGTGAAGGCCATTTGTTAAGAAGTTATTAAAAATCAAGGGTGGGTTGACTACAAAATTTTTGTAGTTCGCTATAACTACAGCTGCTTCAAAAATATGTAGTCAGCTACAACTACTGCTACTTTTGAACAAAGGTAGTTCGCTACTGACTACAGCTACTGCTTAAAAAATGTAGCGAACTATTTCGCTACGCTATATTTTTTAGTTTTACTGTATTCGGAGCATCTACTAACTCAGGCTGTAATGTAACCTTTATATTGCCGAAAAAATCCTACGTCCGACCGAAGGATTTCTATGTACAGTTTTAACACAGTTTCATTTTGAAACTGATGTGTTTTCATCAAATAAATATATAGCATTGTTATTCGGAGTCCATATATAAACCAATTCTTTATGCCAGACTATAACCGTATTTTCTCACCGCCAAATTTCACGTTTACTGGTAATCAAAATGGGAAGATGGCGCGATGGGATCCCAATGATATCGCTAACATAATCATACTCGTGATACCCAATGATATCGCTAACATAAAGTATCCACTAACCTCGCCGTCACGTGGCCAATTGCTCGAGAGGCTCTTCCTTGTCCAAAGGGTGGTATTCACCCGTGTTCGATAACTGGCCCATGTGAATGTAATCTGCTGTGGTTTGGTCTTCGTCTCCAGCCAACTATTTAAAAAAAAAACATATTGTTAAAAAAGGTTTTTGGAACTATTTCTCGCCATCTTTAAGGGACGGGCCATTATTTATGGGGGGGTGGCACCGAAGAGAAATGGTTTTCGTGCCAAAAATTTTGTAGCCTGCGTGGCAGGCTAAAAATTTTGCTGACCCAACCATTAAAAAATAAAAAATTTGATTACCCAACTTCAAGTATCATTTAAAAAATAAATACCAACCCCTGGCCAAAAACGTTACAAAAGGATGTCATTCAGTTGTCACACATGTCCTTTACCACTTCTGTGATACGAGTTTGATAACGTTCGGCTTGCGAAATTTACTGACTTTTCTGCAGTCTAAAATTTCATGTTGTCTGCACATCTACTTTCTTTGGAGACACCATTAATTTGTCTCCCAACAAATCGGAAAATGATCAAGATAGTGACTCTGATCATAGACAATCCAGACGACATGCCAGACAATCAGAGCATAGACAATCAAGGACTGTCTTCTGGATTGTCTATATGCTCTGATTGATTCACATATTGTATTCACGTATGATTGTTGACCATGCTTTGGAAATGACAATAAATTTTTATTACCCAACCTTTGAGTTGTTTCGTTTTTCATTTACCCAACCTTTTACTCACTCAAAATTTTGTTTACCCAACCCTTTTCTCTTCGGTGCCACCCCCCGCCATAAACAATGACCCGTCCCTTAGGTTTACATGAGACCGGAACGAAGTCAAACCGGGACCGTTTCGTTTCGATCATAGTGTTATTTATAATAGTTTTTTACATATAAGACCGGGACGAAAATAACTCAGACCAGTCTCAAGTCATTCCATCTGCTGGACCGAACCGACTGACTTCAGACCGGCATGAATTCGGACCAATACATTCCAGATCGGTCTCGGCTGTAACCTTGACATTGGAACAACACATGCTAAACAAAAGCAATCTAAAGACGAAAATTGCCTGACAAAGGGAAAAAATTGAAAATTTTGTGATTTTCGTATTTTACCATTTTTGAGCCGAAAGTGGTTATTTTTACCGCGCGTAATACTAAAATACTCAAAATTTGCTAATTTCACCGGGCTATATTTTCCGTATTTTACAACATTTCGCAACCAAACTTTGCAGTTTTACTCATTTTAGGAAGCTCTTTTGAGCTATAATGATATATTTCGTCTTTCTTGTCTAGATAAAAAATATAGTCGCTAGCTGGAATTGTCTATTGTGATACAGCTTTCTTAACCGTGTTCATCCTAACCCACCCTGTCAACTTTCCCTGTGGGAGGAAACCCGAGCACTCGGAGAAAACCCACGACATTCGGCAGAGCGTTGACGGACTCTTTTCGCATGAGTCCGTAGCGAGAATCAAACCCACGAACTCACAGGTGAAAGGAGCTTGCGCCATAGAAGCTCCTACATGAAGTACTATACCATGCCAGATGAGTCAACTTACCACTGGAAGTTTTGTGCGCATTCTCTTCCTAAAATCATAAAAGAATTTTTCAAAATAAATCAGTGCATTAGGCCAAAAAAAAAAATATGTGGGTTTCCGGTTTCCCGACCCTACCTAGCTTTTGGACGTCGAAATCCCGACCCTAAACTTTTTTATTGGATCATGCTTGTAAGTGTTTCCACTTAGAGGAAAAAGTTTGTGGAAAATTGAAATTTGAGGCAATATTAGGGAAATTTATCTTTGGATGTGGAAGCACTGACTAAACAAAATGACCTACCCTACCTACGTTTTTATAAGAAGAAACCGGAAACCCACATATTTTTTTTTGGCCTTATGCGGGTATCCCAAAATAAATTGAAAGTTGAAACTACAAAAGAGAGCTGCCCGTCTATAGTATTAGATCCTCTGAAATTTTTGAAATCCTTCAATCTATAGTATTAGATCCTCTGAAATTTTTGAAATCCTTCAATGGCAACCAATAAAAACAATACTACATAAACGCGAACTAATAACGTTGTTTAATTAAAGGACATTGGCAATAAAAAATTAGTTTAGTTCATTTGAAAGAACTCTTAAAACTATATATTAAACTCTATTACAGATTGTTTATATCTTGCTTAGTTTTCAAAATATTTCGACTGAAAAAAGTGAGCTGTTCGCCATCTTGGATTATTGAGGATATGCATGTTACGTCAAGAGAGGGGTCACGCTAATTTTTTATCTTGAGAGTAAGCGATCAATATGGGTCCAAAACTTCGTTTCTGGTTGCTGTCAGAAATTTAAAATGATTAAAAACATTTCAAACAATTTTGGATTGTTATTCGGTCATTTTCGAGAAGTTTTATATGGTTAACCCAAATCCTGACGTCATCAAAACCATAGTTAATGAGGTAAAGAATTTTTCCATGATGGCGTAAAGCTCATTAATGTCGGTCTAAATATTTCGAGAACTAAGCAAGATATGACAAATCGGTAATAGAGTTTAATATATAATTTTAAGAGTTCTTTTGAATGAGACATACTATTTTTTATTGCCATATGTCCTTTAAAGTTTTAAAGGAATGACACCAAATTACTTTACAATGTTCTTCCGTAATTGTAACAACACTTATTATTAGCATGACAAAATTACTGGATGCCGATTGGTTGAGAGGAGTACAATTATTTCATTAATTGTACTGCAGTACAATTAATGATTTTCCCAAAACAAACAAAATGGCGGAAAGGTATTTTAAACACAAACGTGAAATGAAATTGCCCTAGAGGAACTAGATGAAAATACGAACAAAAGCACCAAAATTTGCTTTAACAAAAGAACCAAATGAAAATACGAACAAAAGTACCACATTTTGGTTGAATGTCTGGCAGGACTGGACTTTGGCGAAAGAATATAATGTTGACATTGAAAAGTATCCAATTTAGTCATGCTATGATGCGAATAATAAACAAGTAATCATGCGACGTTGCTCGTACAATTAGGGATTAATAGTACTCGTGATGTTTGGAAATTTGCCAAATTGGACTCGCCCTGGCGGCTCGTCCAATTATGGCAAAATTTCCAAACATCACTCGTACTATTAATCCCTAATTGTAC